TCGGGTTTAGGGTCAAGGGTTACAGTCATTAGGGTTAAGGGTTTAGAGGTGAAGGTTAGAGATGAGTGGTTTGGCTATAAGTCGCCCTCTGGGGGACGTCTTTGGAGTCCCGGTGCAGTACTGCACGGTACACGCTCACGTGACGCCCACTTCAGGACAAATACAAAGCTACAACAGATACATTAATAAAATAACGAAGTACCGAAGCAGACACGAGCCGCTACATACTTGTCTCTGCACATAAACGATGCAAGTGCTTTACGCATCCCATCAGCCACACAACCTTCTAAGAGTGCATTCTATCAGCAGCATTGGTTGAACAACAAGCAATACTCTGGACAGGTTTTGACCCTCAATGTCTCATCGCTTGTATCAATGCTTGTAAAGTGCCAGATGTTACAAGCAAGGCCCCACTCTGTCAGATATCGGTCCGAGTTGAGTGCAAAACTCCATGCAGCAGTGCCATGGCTCAACACCTGACCCTGTTGATGTTACAATGCAGTACACCTGCACATGATGCCTTCTTGTTCACAAATCTGTTCCAACAGATTATTTGTACGTGCTGCGTTGACGGTGGAGAGCAAGGACAACTAATGACAAACACGACTCAACACAATCGTCAATGACACCGTCTTCAATGGAATGTAAACATTAGGCGTCTGTTTCTAAGCAATGGCCGTTGTTGTCCAGACCAGTGGCTCGTCCCTTTGAGAGCGGGGACCAAAATCCCCGTGCAGGAGGACCACAATCCCCGTGCACGAGGACCACATTCCCCGTGCACGAGGACCACAATCCCCGTGCACGAGGACCACAATCCCCGTGCACGAGGACCACAATCCCCGTGCACAGCGTCCCCACGTCGACATGAAAACACGAAACGCCCCCTCCCACTGTCTACAGCGTCCCCACGTCAAAATGAGGAGGCTTACTCGTGGTCGCAGGTTGCTGATGACGGGAAAGAAAGGTGATCCGAACTCTAACCCCCAAGGACAGGTGTGCAGGTTTGTGAAACATTTCTGAGGTCTTAGGGAAAGGGAAATCCCTCAGCCCAGACAACGTCATGGGGGAAAGTCGGGATACCTCTGCTGAGGCTGCCGTGCCTCAAATCTCGGAAGGAGTCGCACCTTGTGAGTGGTTGGCTGTTTCTCTCTCCCACCTGAAGACGATTGCTTGTGGCGATCGAAACGTCGTGATCTAGTATTATTTTTTCTACCTACGTGACTTGACCGAAAGAACCAAAGAGTATGGATTCCTGCAGTCACGAAATCTTCAAATCATGTTTATAGGCAAGGGCCCTCTCTGTTAGACGTGGGTCTCAGTTCACGTAACGTGTCACGGTGGCTTACGGCAGTTGTTGTTGGTTGTGGTGACGGTGGTGCTGTTGCTGGGTGGTGGTTTCTGGTATTGGGTGGCGACTGGGGCCTGGATAGCCAGGCGGACAGGGCCGGACACGTCCGACGTTTCGTGATTTGTGCTGAACGCGCGCTCGTGGCCGCTAGGTGCCGATGGCGACTGACGGTGGAACAGTTTTTGTAAAAATCCGTGCGGTGTGCGCTGTCAAAGCCTTGCCTGAGGGGTGGTGGGGGGGATTCTGCCCCACATGAAGCCAAACTATTTTTGTTTTTATAATCATTTTTGTGACATAGACGAAAATGTATCTGCAAATATCACTGCGTATCATCTCAACGCAAAGTATTGTCATCTTAAGCATGGAAACTTTTGTATCCGTAGAATCCGAAATAAAAGTGATAAACGTGTGACGTGACCGCTGTTGTGTTGTTGGAGTCTGGGCCTAGTAACGTTCTGTGCACTGTAACCCCAACCCATGGCATCAACCGTGGCGAAGGCGACGTTATCTCCCTCGCCTGGCATGGAGGATGTCGTGGGTTCGGTGCTGGAACCTGGCGATGCCTGTTGTATATTTTGAGCTTGCGTGTTCTATCTCCGTCTGGTGATCACGTGGATTTTTCTCTGGGTCCTCCAGCGTTGCTGATAGATTAATGAGGCCTATGATCAGTGGGCATAGTATATTAACGGTTGTTAGTGTAAGCATGGCTATGTAAAGTAGGAGGGGGACAGATAGAGGGGCGACCAATTCACCATGTGTCCTGGTTGAGCCATCCAAACATTTGGTAGCCTTCAGAAAATGACGATGAACACATCGTGGTTAATGCCGCTGTGTCTTCCCATATAAAGGCCCGGTTGGTGTGTCATGCCCAGTGAGTTTTTGTTTTGCTATTCATCTTCGTGTGTATTTGTGCATGTTTTGCAGTTATTTTTTGCTGTTTACACACCAGGAACACAAACCATTGTATATATTGCATACAAGCAACCATGACACAATGTAGCAATTCATGGTTTTTATTTAATTTACGAATAAATGATTTACTGTTTAACACGTAAGCTTTCGCGACTGACGTCATCCACAATACAGGTTTTTTTGTTGTTAGATCGCGTAAATATATGTGTCAAAAAACCTGCCACCACCCGACACAGCCAATTAGTAATGTTTATCATGTAAACAGAACGTGCCAATTCGTTACTAGTAGAGCACACTGCTGTGTTGGAGAGCAAAGCCACAACATTTACAATCTGAGTACGACGTTTCGCCAGTAATAACAACGAGCTTCATCAGGTGACAGCCAGATTGGTGGAGAAATCCTCCTGTTTTGTTAAATAGAGGGGTAGATGTGATGACATCACTTGTGTGCCGTTCTTGCGCGAAGTGGGGGAGGGATGAATTAATGCATATAAATTACTGTGGGTATCCGTTGCCGTTTGAGTTATATATATATGGTAATCAATGTACATTATGCATGCGCATTATGCAAGGCCATTGTTATTGTACCTGCTGCTGATTGTGTATACTAAAATAGCCATACCAACGGTAATCACTATTGAAGCATGCTGACCTGCATTTAAACATTTTATTATTTGATGGTTCGCTTACAAAGCAGCAATTAGATACATCATATATATACATAAATTATATACATAAATTATATACATTAATTATATACATTAATTATATACATTAATTATATGCATTATTTATATGCATTATTTATATACATTGATTATATACATTATTTATATATATATTAATTATATACATTAATTAATTCCCCCCCCCCACTCCGGCACAAGAAGAACACACAAGTGTTTTCATCACATCTACTACCCCTCTAGTTAAGGAACGAAACAGGATTTCTCCACAAATCTGGCTGCAGCCTGAAGAAGCTCATTGTCATTACTGGCGAAACGTCGTACACAGATTGTAAATGTTGTGGCTTTGCTCTCCAACAAAGCGGTGTACTGTACTAGTGACGAATTGGCATATTCTGTTTACGTGACAAACCTTACTCATTGCCTGTGTCGGGTGGTGGCGGGGTTAACGACACATTTATACACTTACGCGATCTAACCTAGAAAACCTGTATTATGGGAGTTACTTGCATAAAACATATATTTACATAATGTACAGGTGTGAAGGGTGATCTTATTAAGCCTTCCAAAATTCTTCTGAGAGATGCCCGCTTGGCAAAGGAATCTCCCGATTAACAAAACAGTCCTGCAGGCAAACACAACACACACAAACACAACACACACAAACACACACAAACACAACACACACACAAACAGGGATTAATGTGGATACTCGAGTCCGGGCAGCCCAGCAGCCCCACATGGGATTTGAAGGGCCAACCAGTGGCAGCGTGCCAATAGAATGCCTCGCTCTGGTGTCTTGAGTGCTGTTAAGGTGAATATTTAATAAGTTATTTTAATGTAGCTGCTGTTTCTTGTGCAGGAAGCGATGCACGCCGGTCAGAGGCTTTTTCAGCCCAAAGCGCACTTTGTGGAGAAGTTCTAGACGCGTACTTGGTTGTGCTATTTGTATGTTTATTGAACAGTCCGACACACGCGTTAAGAGTTTCCTGGCAAATGTCCCGATCCACCATCGAGCTTTTCCCTCAACCCTTCCCTGCCTTTCCCCTTCAACCCTCCTGGCCAATCACCTTTCAACCCATCCTCCTGCTCCTCCCATTCAGGTGTGAGGTAGATGATCCCAATTACCTAACCCACCATCCCTGGTGTAATGCGTTAGGGAATTATGTAATTAGTGAGTTATACACAATCCTGGGGTAGGATTGCCGCACATGTCTGATGATGTACTAGAAACCCTGTGTGAAGGGGAGACCTGGTGATTCAGGCAATTAACTATTAACCGTCCCTTCGTGTGTACGCATGCCGCAATGAGAGGAGAATTACTAATTTATTTCTGGGAAGTGTTTCCCAACTTCCCGACACGTAAAAAATTACATTAGGTGACAAAGTGAATACGGGGCTAATTATGCGTTCGAGTGCAAAGCCAACACCACTCAGATCCTGGGTTTGAATTGAGGTTTCAGCCACCTGTGATTAAACCGGAGTCTCAAGTATAGCGAGTTTAAGGTATTATCCTGGGCACAGATTCCTTCACGAAAAAAATACCTTTGTTCAACTCAAGTTTTCATCTAATTTGGATTTTCTAACTCTTAATATTTATGATTTCATTGGCATGTACTTACAAATACTTTGACAATAATTACACCCACACACATGGTACTAACTATGCCCCTAATGAATGTAACTTTGGCCACATTGAGTGTTAACACTCTACTTCAGGATGGCCCTGTATTGGGATGTTTGGCGAATTCTGTAAAGGCAAGTTTGGCGATTGGGAAGAATCCAGAATACCCGGGGAAAAGCCACAACACATTCGGATAAAACACAGCTCCGCACAGTTACGTTCACTCCGCTGCTGTACTGACGTCTCCTGACCAGCTCGCAATGTGCCCACTAAGGATGGCGATTGCTGCGAGCATGGATAAAGGGAGCTACTGAGTGACTTCAGATATCATTGTGATGTCACCTTCCGCGGCTGTTATGACTTAAGGTAATGCTACACACATTGCTGTGCGGGTTATGACAACGGCACTAGAATAAATATGTGTGTCAAAGTTGTGTGGTCAAAGCCGGTACCTCGAGGAACAGCCTCAGTCTGACCACAGTTCCCATCTGCTGCGGGATGGATACTTTCTCGATTCTGCAGGACAAGAACAGATGCAGCGAGTTTAGTTGCGCATCCATCGATTCTTACAAACTTCTGGCTCCAGTCCTTAACCGGTGACCATCACCAACCACAGCTTTAAGCTCGTTCAGAGACACACTGTAACGGGAGCCTGCTGTCGACAGCTGACTTCACAGTCACGTCGATCGCATCGCTACCGCCTCCCTGCAAATTGCTGTGGGTGGAAAACTGGGCTGGTCAAGAGTCTTCCAAGAGCCAAAGTTTATGATCCGCAGGGGAAAATTATGGCGGTGCAAGGACCCTTCTGTATGTACAAGTGCAATGTTACTTTGATATTAGCTGGTTACTTGACAAGGTGATTCAGTCTATTGCCACAACATAAAAACAGTAGAAAGCAAATCGTCAATGCAAGGAACACGTGCAAATATAAATGGCTTCGTGAAGGTGAGATGGAGACGAGACTGCCACCGGGCGAGAGGTACCTTGGGATGTATTCTTTCCTTAACCCATCGAGCAGCTCCCAGAGCTGATCGCCGTATTCAATCGCCATTGCATTACCTGCCACCTGCTCACACACGCCAGGAGCATGTGAACAAGTCACAGGGCAGCCTCGTCTCTATCACAATGCTTGTGCGCTGTGTTCCCGTGCGTGTACCCGTGTGTTCCTGTGCACGCGCTGTGTGCTCATGCCCGTGTGCTCTCGTGCGTACCTCCAGAAAGCTGAAGAGCACCGTGGGGGTGACATTGGCCATGGGCTCCATATCCAGGACCTGCATGAGCCAGGTCCAGCCGTGACTCATGCCGTGGGGGTGGCTCTGCGATTCACGCACACGGCACGCGTGGGGTAGGGTGGCAGGTGTGGGAGAGATTCGTCAATTTAAAATCCCATTATCGTACTTGCGCTACACAGAGCCAGTGGCTTACGATTTAAGCAAATCGCATGCAAACAATGTTACACGTACACTAGCAGAGCGAACCAAACTGTACGTGACGGAGAGAGTGAGATCCGATTCTTGATGGGGATCGTGACCCCGGATTGGCGGTGCTACCTTGTTGCCACTGGAGGGGGGCACGGGCGCGGAGATGATGGCCGCGTACATGCGCGCCATGCCCGACATTCTCTGGAGAAACAAGTCTTCGTTCTCTACTCTCCCATCCTCGAAGCGGTAACCGAGGATCCTGCGGGTGATGGGGGGAGACACGGGCGTCAAGCACACGCCACACCCACGCACAGCTCTCACCGCTCACTCCTCACCCCCCAACTACCACCGACCCCCCCCCCCCACCAGATCCCTAGTGCCCTCACCTGAAAGCGTCCTCCTGGCTCTGCCCAGGCGTGGGACGAGGGAAGACGGGGCCCATGTAGGGGCACTTGCTGAGCAGGTGAGCAAGCAGGAGCTCCCCGAGGGCTGGGTGGCGGTGCCACAGTTCCACGGTGACAGCCGCGATGGGGAACACCGCCGCGTGGTTCCACCCCACCTCCTCCTCGCTCTGCTTCTGTAGTGGCAGGGACGCAGGGGGAGAGAGGGTGAGGTGAAGAAACCGGAACCGAAGACAACCAATTTGCTGTACTTATTTAGTTTGTCATAAATAACCTATCTCATTTATCTTTCCCAATTAAACGGGCAATTATGAACTTCACAAACATTGCAAGAGGAGCCCCGCTGAAAAAAAACATTCTTGATGAGACGCATTGTGGCTTTCTGGTATAAGAAGCATCGATGAATGAACCGTGAGAATAAATGAACACACATTCAAGTGAACTGATCCTAGCAGCGAGCACACAGGCGAAGGTGAAATGCAGATGTCGGTGGATGATGGCGATGACGACGGTGGTGTCGTGGAGGTGCGTGCATGCGAGGTGCATTTGACTGCGAGGCAAGACGCGGGGGCTTTGCGAGGGGGCATGTCGACGTACCACGAGCCTCTCAGCCACCCGGTGCAGGACGTAGAGCAGGCCCTGCGGGTGGTCCGACACGCTGGTGGAGCGCGTGCCCGACACGACGGCCGTGCCGCTCAACAGCAAGTCCAGCTTGCCGGTGATGACGCGCAGGTGAGAACCTGCGCACGAGGACACGTTGGGGGGGGGCACGGGTAAAAACGGGGGGACGTGTATTATACAACAGCGCTGCACTACGGCAGTCGTGACACAGTGACTGCCGCGCAAGCTGCCCGATTGTGCGTTTACACCGCGGGAGCTGGGGCAGGCTGAGACTCGACGTTTCACGAGAGAGGGGAGGGGACGGCCCTCACCAGACGTGTTGGAGATCTGGTTGATGGGCAGTGACGAGGCCTTGGCCAGCTCGAACTTCATGACCTTGGTCTGCCCATCACACACACACACAGGTACACTCACACTATTAAAACTAAACTATGACACTAAAACTATTTGTTTTTTATTTTACTAGGTAAGGCCCACTGAGCTATATAGCTCTTTTTCAGAAGAGACTCGGCTACAACTGCTAGCTCCACGAAGTGAAATATCGCATGGATATTTATAGCAGCCAAATACTCTAAAAACACGCGTTTCTAAATGTGGAGGGAAAAACTGGAGAACCTGGAGAAAAATCCACGCAACCATGAGGAGAATACGTACACTGCAAATATACAGTAGCTGTCAGAATCGGGCATTTGAACTCACGACCCCCCCCCGCATACCTTGAGGTCCTGGTTGCCGTTGAGCTCCTTCAGTCTCTCCACCGTCTCCGCCAAGTGGCGCTGCAGCTCTTGGTGACGGCGCTGCGGGACGCTGCCCTCCGCCCAATCTCCACCCGCTGTGGCAATCAATGCAACACACAGCCCGTTAGAAGCAGGGACCCATACAACACACATTATAACCAGGGTTCCACACGCAGCCCGTTAGAAGCAGGGACCCATACAACACGCATTATAACCAGGGTTCCACAAACAGCCCGTTAGAACCAGGGACCCACACAACACACATTATAACCAGGGTTCCACACGCAGCCCGTTAGAACCAGGGACCCACACAACACACATTATAACCAGGGTTCCACACGCAGCCCGTTAGAAGCAGGGACCCATACAACACACATTATAACCAGGGTTCCACACGCAGCCCGTTAGAACCAGGGACCCACACAACACACATTATAACCAGGGTTCCACACGCAGCCCGTTAGAACCAGGGACCCACACAACACACATTATAACCAGGGTTCCACATATGGGTCATAATTACCAGGGTCCCACACATGACCGCTTATAACCAAAGACTCACACACGGTCCATTATAACCGGGGATCCACACGCAACCCGTTATAACAGAGGAAACGACGCCTCACCTTGCTCCAGCGGCTCGCACTCGCGTGCCAGACGCGGTGCATCCTCGCCACCATCACCGCTGTTCTGCAGACAGCAAACCACACCAGACCACGCTGTATTTTATAAGGGTGTGCCGCCAAATGCATTCTCATAGCTGATGAATGTTCCGACTTAAGAAAAATCAAAGCACACGTGTCTGTTTCACAGTCTATAAAGAAATTAACATTTTAGTTCATCGGACTATGAGCTTGTGGGACCAATGTTTTCCATCAGGGAATCTCTGGGCCGGTGTTAATGATCTGAGTCTCGTCAGCAGGGTATGCCTGATTGCTGTGTAGATGGGTGTCAAGGTTGCGTGTTCGGGCTAAGCCGCACGTTTGAAACATCGTAACAAACGTAGAGTCCGTATTCCCTGATATCCCCCTCCAATTAATCTAGCCTTTGCTGGGAATCCAACTGAGGTGGCTGGGTTCACAGCACAGCGTGCAAACTGCTGTGCCGAACTACCAAAGCAAGTGGCAAAACAAATGTTACGTGACAATTGGTGACCAAGCTGAGACTATAAACTCGCTACACCAAGACTCTTACCGCGATTCCAGAGAAACGCTCCTCAGTGATGATCTCGAGGATAACATTCTCAGAGCTGAACAAAAACAAAACAACAAATGATCACAATAGTGTTCGCTAGTGTCATTCTGCGTACCCTTATGCTAGCTGGAACCAACACCAGTGTACACGAGCTCTAGCTGACACTCACACTCATATATGAGCCTGCACAAAGACTCACACGTACACTACCTCACACCTACACTCCCTCACACTTACACTCACTCACAGCTACACTCCCTCACACCTACACTCCCTCACACTTACACTCCCTCACACTTACACTCCCTCACACCTACACTCCCTCACACTTACACTCCCTCACACCTACACACCCTCACACTTACACTCCCTCACACCTATACTCACTCACACCTACACTCCCTCACACCTACACTCAATAACACTTACACTCCCTCACACTTACACTCCCTCACACCTACACTCCCTCACACCTACACTCCCTCACACCTACACTCCCTCACACCTACACTCCCTCACACTTACACTTGCTCACACTTACACTTGCTCACACTTACACTCCCTTAGACTTACACTCCCTCACACTTACACTCCCTCACACCTACACTCCCTCACACCTACACTCCCTCACACCTATACTCCCTGACACTTACACTTGCTCACAATAACACTTGCTCACACCTACACTCCCTCACACTTACACTCCCTCACACTTACACTTGCTCACACTTACACTCCCTCACACCTACACTCCCTCACACCTACACTCCCTCACACTTACACTCCCTCACACACTCCCTCACACTTACACTCCCTCACACTTACACTCCCTCACACTTACACTTGCTCACACTTACACTCCCTCACACCTACACTCCCTCACACCTACACTCCCTCACACTTACACTCACTCACAGCTACACTACCTCACACCTACACTCCCTCACACGTACTCACTCACACCTACACTCCCTCACACCTACACTCCCTCACAACTACACTCACTCACACCTACACTCGCTCACACCTACACTCAATAACACTTACACTCCCTCACACCTACACTCCCTCACACCTACACTCCCTCACACTTACACTTGCTCACACTTACACTTGCTCACACTTACACTCCCTTAGACTTACACTCCCCCACACTTACACTCCCTCACACCTACACTCCCTCACACTTACACTTGCTCACACTTACACTCCCTTAGACTTACACTCCCTCACACTTACACTCCCTCACACCTACACTCCCTCACACCTACACTCCCTCACACTTACACTTGCTCACAATAACACTTGCTCACACCTACACTCCCTCACACTTACACTCCCTCACACTTACACTTGCTCACACTTACACTACCTCACCCTTACACTCCCTCACACCTACACTCCCTCACACCTACACTCCCTCACACTTACACTCCCTCACACCTACACTCCCTCACACTTACACTCCCTCACACCTACACTCCCTCACACCTACAGTAATTGTCTAACTGCCTGTCCAGACGACCGATGCTCCCTAACCAGACCACAGTGTCCACCGCTGCATCTCGCAGTCCCCTCCCTACCTGACTTCCGGCTCATTGTCGCGTCGCTTCGCCTCCTCCTCGCTGGGTCCCTTCTCCACGACCAGGAGAAGGGGGTTGTCAGCGGAGGCGTGGGGGGGCTCGCCATCCCCATGGGGCAATGGTCGTCCAGTGATGTCAAGTGGGGAGAGCGGCACAATGACCTGGCCCTCTGCCAGCGCCTCCTGTCGAGGGAATCACGTTCATGGTTTACGCACCAGGTAGAGAGTGCACACGTGCAGTGCAGTGGTAGGGGAACACAAGCTAAAGTGTGCACCAAGACGCGTATAAAGTCACGTTTGAACCATCCAATTGGCCGTTCCGATAAACGGGATTGTGCAGGATACATTGCGAGAACTGATGGACGGGATTGGTAATTGAATGGCAGCCAAAAAGGAAAGAGTACGGCCACCGCAGAGATGGATCAATGAGTTCAGTTCCCGTGCAGGAGTCGGATACATTGTGGCATTGCGTGACTGTGATGGGTGGTGATGATGTGTGTCGGGCCGTCAATTGGGAGCGGATAGAAAATAGCTGGTGATGATACGATGACAGAGGAATCATTCAACAATTGTCACTTATATAATCATCAGCCATAGTTAATCTGATGTTGGATGAAGGCCTCCCCAATCTGTCACTCCCTCTCACAGTCCGAAAATTCAAAATAATCCTCTCACAGTCCGACGATGCAAAAGAGTCTAGCTGGCACCTGCACATAAACTTATTTTATAATTCCATCTCCGTGGTGGATGTGTTCTATGCTGGTTACCATGTGGCTGAATGCACGAGATTGTGTGCTCGTGTGAGACGATGATGGTGATGATTATTACCTTTCCACATGAGGTGTCTGCACCACCTTCCTGCACCACCGGTGATGCCGTGGTGGGAGTGGATGCATCGGCGTGGTCATCAAGGCCATTCTTCACACGGTTATGCCTGCAGCGGTGTTTCTTACAATGCCTGCAATAAGTGATTCGATTTTAATATCAGCATTGAGTTCGTCCAAGCAATGGATCTCAATCTCATAAAACATCTGGCATTTCACCAAAGCCGTAGCCATGGAGTCAACATTGGGGGGGACCAAATCTTCCAGGGGGTCCCACCCCCCCAGAAAAAAAATCTAAATTTGAAAACGAATTTCCTGCCTAAAATATAAAAAATAGAAACTAACATACGGGATTATTATTTATTTATTAACAATAATGTCTGATAGTGTATATTGTATTATATTGCTGTTTTTTTATTTTTTTACTTTTTCTTGTTACATTCTATGTAATGGCAGAGATTAGTGATTTCTAAAGTACAACCATAACCACTATCATATAAACGGAAATCTATTTTATAGCAATATAATGGGGTGGACATTTTGTGTGGGGGGGGGATGCGTCCCCCCCCCCCCCACACAATATTTATTATAATTACGGCCTTGTATGTCACCAGTATTGGGTCAAGCAAGCCCGACTTTGGTGATGAGACACTGTCCAGTAGACAGGACTTGCTTGCTCCAATGCTGATGAAAGTTTGGGTTCTCAGAGGCAGTATTTGTTGTCACTGTGAATGGGCGCGATCAGTGCTTGGATAGGCGACCACTAAATCACAACAGGTGCTAGAGACTGCGGGGCTACAATGTGATTGGTGGACTGTGCTGAACACATCGTTGTACTGCACTTACATACTCCACCATCGCTGTCCCCCGCCTTGACAACCTCGCACTGCCCAGAGTGGTGAAGTATGGTTAAATAACCCCCACGACCCATACGGTGTGGGGAGGTCCTCATCCAGCAGTAGAGTGACTTGAATAAGACGCGAGACCGTGGATAAGTTGTGGCTACGATTATAACAATGGTCACCAACCCCTCCCCCAGTGTTTACACTGCGGAACTTTAGCGTCCGACTCACACGGAGCCCGGCGTGGGGCTTTAGCGTCCGACTCACACGGAGCCCGGCGTGGGGCTTTAGCGTCCGACTCACACGGAGTCTGGCGTGAGGCTTTAACGTCCGACTCACACGGAGCCCGGCGTGGGGCTTTAGCGTCCGACTCACACGGAGCCCGGCGTGGGGCTTTAGCGTCCGACTCACACGGAGCCCGGCGTGGGGCTTTAACGTCCGACTCACACGGAGCCCGGCGTGAGGCTTTAGCGTCCGACTCACCTCTTCTTGCTCGGACGCTCGCGCTTCGGAGTTCGGGAATAGCACGCTCCCATGGCGGGACCGTTCGTCCGCACGGGGACACGAGGGGCGAGTCGAGGCGATCGCCCTTTGGGTACCGACGAAGATCGCCGACGAGGAGGATCAAGATTGAGGAGGAGGATCAAGATTGAGGAGGAGGATCAAGATTGAGGAAGAGGAGGATCAAGATTGAGGAGGAGGAGGATCAAGATTGAGGAGGATCAAGATTGAGGAGGAGGAGATTCGAGCGGACGTAGGAGCGCTGCTGCTTTCCACTGCCCAGCTCCACGTCGAGTGAGGTCACGCCCACAGGCCACGCCCCGCGCCTCCCATTAGCCACGCCCCGCGTCTCCCATTAGCCACGCCCCGCGCCGCCCACAGTCCACGCCCCCCGCCGCCCACAGGCCACGCCCCGCGCCGCCCACAGGCCACGCCCCGCGCCGCCCACAGGCCTCGCCGCGCGCCGCCCACAGGCCACGCCCCGCGCCGCCCACGTGACCACCACTCGATTAATCGATTATCAACGAATCGAGGCCTCATCGCGCCCTGATCCACTCAGGTTCGCAGCGCTATTTGGTTGAATTCCCAACTGCGGCTGTCCTATCGATGAGGGTTCGCCATTAGACGTCCCCTGTTTATTTTTCAATTGTTTTGTTTGTAAACGGAGACAGAATGACACATGATTAATAATCGACTCACGTTAACACTAACCGAGAGACATCGATTGCAACTATATGAATCGAATCGCGATCGTGGTGAAGATTGGGGCCAACGGCTCGCGAAAATGTTTTATCTCACCTGACATTGATGCCGATGGAGCGAGCAACAGTGGGCACGCGAGATCGATAGAAGATAAAATACGAAGTAGAGAGAGTGAACGGGGGGGGGATGGAGAGAAATCGATTACCAATTCGAATCGCGACCGTTCATCGCGACGACCCCAGGTGAATGGCCTCGTCGTGTGAGCAGTTTGCAGGCGAACGCGGGGGCCCAGCTGCTACTGCTGCTGCCCGCATGGCTAGGGGGGGTTGGCAGCGCTGCTGCTGCTGCCCGCGTGGCTGGGGGGGGTTGGCAGCGCTGCTGCTGCTGCCCGCATGGCTAGGGGGGGTTGGCGGCGCTGCTCTGTGGCCCGGCGTGGATCAGCGCCCAGCCGCCGCTGCTGCTGCTCTGCCGCTCCGAGTGTGGGGAGCCGCCTCTTCGTACGCAAGGCCTCAGGCTCGCCACTCGCTTCACGTTCGGGCATCGTTCGTAAACGACTACAATCTGATCTTTTCAAGTTTAACGAAACGGAGTAGGCTTTCGCGACCAATATTGTCCATAGTAGAGGACTGTGGATTGGATCGCGTGAATAGAAATCTGTCGTTAAGCCCGCCACCACCCGACATCCAATTAGTAAGGTTTGTCACGTAAACAAAACACACCAAATAGCGTGTTGGAGAGTAAACCCACAACATATTCTTGGTTTCGATATAAAGCTTTCGTGACTGCAAGGATTCATCTTCTTTGGTTCTTTCGGTAAAGTCACGTAGAATGAGAATAAAATAATAAATTGATAAAATAACAATCATCTCACGACGTTTCGGCCACAACACAAGCGGCCTTCATCAGGTGAAGGGACTAGACTGTCTGGAGGACAGCGCTGGAGTGAGAAAGCCACGCTCAGATCACGACCTTTAAGCTGTGTGAGAAGAAACAAAGCGCCTTGACAAAGGAATTAGCATAAAAATTAGCATTGAAATGGCTGAGTGATTAGCTTGTGACTGGTCACAGAAAAGGCTATGTTAAAGTTAAAGCATACACATCCGCAAAGGCACCCCTTGACAAAGGAATTAGCATAGAATTTAGCATTGAAATAGCTAAGTTAAAGTATACACATCCGCAAAGGCACTCCTTGACAAAGGAATTAGCATAGAATTTAGCATTGAAATAGTTGAGTGATTAGCTTGTGACTGGTCACAGAAATAGCTATGTTAAAGTCAGAGCATATACATTCACCGAGGCACCTAGTACAACTCAAACAGGAGAATTTAGCATTGAAATAACTAGGCGAATTTAGCTTTGAAATAACTGAGTGATTAGCTTGTGACTGATCACAGAAATGGCTATGTTGAAGTTAAGGCCTACACATCTGAGCTTTTCACAGTAACTGGGTATACAATACATTATATATAATGAATACTATATAGTGAACCAATAAAAAATACTAAAATATAAATTACCTCAATGTTATATTCTTAGTTTTTTCGGTAAAGTCACGTTGAAGAGAAACAACGTGACTTTACCGAAAAAACTAAGAATATGAATTACTGCAGTCACGAAAGCTTTAAATCAAAATTTACCTCAATGTTATCAATAAACTCTATATTCTCCAATCAGCTAAGCTACCAACAATAAGTCGTTATATATCACAATGCTATATGGCGAAAAATGGGGGACAATTTCAACCGAGAAGATGGATTCTGGCTTAGTAACCATTGGAAAGATGTTTTAAACCATTTCCGTTCATAATTAATCGTATTTTACGATGACCTTTAGACCGCAGCTCTTTCGCTGGCATTGACTCTTAATACCTCTCACACCACGGTTAATGGTATGGTTTACAACATGGAGTATAATAGCGCCTCGCAGCTGTCTCTCTCCCCCTCCTCTGTTCCGACCATGGATGAACTCGTCCGTCTGAACGGGACCCGTAGCTATCCGTGTTCCTAAAGTTGAGGGTAAGAATCCACCCATTTTTCGCCATATAGCATTGTGATATATAACGACTTATTGTTGGTAGCTTAGCTGATTGGAGAATATAGAGTTTATTGATAACATTGAGGTAATTTATATTTTAGTATTTTTTATTGGTTCACTATATAGTATTCATTATATATTGTATTGTATACCCAGTTACTGTGAATAGCTCAGATGTGTAGACCTTAACTTCAACATAGCCATTTCTGTGACCAGTCACAAGCTAATCACTCAGTTATTTCAATGCTAAATTCTCCTGTTTGATTTGTACTAGGTGCCTCGGTGAATGTATATGCTCTGACTTTAACATAGCTATTTCTGTGACCAGTTACAAGCTAATCACTCAACTATTTCAATGCTAAATTCTATGCTAATTCCTTTGTCAAGGAGTGGCTTTGCGGATGTGTATACTTTAACTTAGCTATTTCAATGCTAAATTCTATGCTAATTCCTTTGTCAAGGGGTGCCTTTGCGGATGTGTATGCTTTAACTTTAACATAGCCTTTTCTGTGACCAGTCACAAGCTAATCACTCAGCCATTTCAATGCTAAATTATATGCTAATTCATTTGTCAAGGCGCTTTGTTTCTTCTCACACAGCTTAAAGGTCGTGATCTCAGCGTGGCTTTCTCACTCCAGCGCTGTCCTCCAGACAGTCTCGTCCCCTTCACCTGATGAAGGCCGCTTGTGTTGTGGCCGAAACGTCGTGAGAATATTATTGTGTTATTTTATTTTATCAATTTATTATTTTATTCTCATTCTACGTGACTTTACCGAAAGAACCAAAGAAGTCACGTAGAAGGGAAATAATAAAATAAAACAATAACATTCTCACGACGTTTTGATTGCAACACAAGCAATCATCATCAGGTGTGAAAACCACAGCAAGAATTTATTTTTGAAAAAAGTGGCGTTTTTGTCTTAACGTTAGCACCACGGACAGCGACTAGCGGTTGTTGAGACGGACGAGTCCATCTATGCTCAGAGCGGAGGAGGGGGGAGAGAAGGAGAATGGAATGAGGTCTGAAAGTCGGTCGAGTTAATCAATTGGCATTGTGCAGAGCAATTACTGCCCCCTTACTGCGGAAACTTGGCAGGACCCTCCAAAGGAAGGAAGATATAGTGAGGCTTTCCACGGTAAACACGTGTAGGAATAATATAATACAAATATCTATTTTTTTAAAGGCAAAGTAATTTCT